GCTGGTGTGGCTCAGTGGATTGAGTGCTGGCCTGTGAACCAAAGGATCACTGGTTTGATTCCTGGTCAGGGCATGTGCCTGGGTTGTGGGCCACATAAAGCCTGGAGACCAGAGCGTAACACATAGTGACTATGTAGGAAATGTTAGTTGACTTAGAGTGAAAGAAAAAAAGACCCCAGATCCCTTTCTGGGCTTTGAACCTATAAACTCCAGAAACATAAAACCCCATGTGAATTCTGGTCTTAGAATTCTGCATCGGCCTTTCCCACCACAGGCTCAGAAGCAAATCCCTAGGAATTGAGACCCACTGACCTGCCTGAAAAATGAGTCTAAGGTCAGACTTAAGTAAATGTTGCTAGTGTTCACTTAGGTGATACTGATGTGACAGCAGAAGACTGGTGGGCCCTGGGATCCTCCCTCAGCTCCTCCCAGCTCTCAGCAGCAGATGGGAGGGAATGGGGTAGCTGGGGGCAGCTCAGCTCTGGGCTGCAATAGGGGAGGCAGGCTTCTGGATAAGGGTTGAATTCACACCCACACATAGGAGACAGTGATCTCTCCCACTGAGGAAGGAAGAAAGAGCACAGAATATCCTATTTCGGGCTTTTGTTCAAGTGTGCAAGCCCAAGTGAGTACACTGTCCTCTCCAGCCTACCTTGCCCGCCTGGTCAGACGGGGAGCAGCCTGGGTCGTACACAAGCAGGCCTCCCTCATGGGCCCAGGTGAGCACCTGCCTGAAGCTGATCCAACCAGAATCCCCCCATGGAATTCAGGCTCATTCTGCTTGATGCTTGGGTGGAAGAGAGACAAACCTGGAAGCTGCCACACTCCCCAGGATGCAGGAAAAGCTAATGTTCAGAGAGAGAGAGAAGGATGAAACACAAGAAGGTAGAGGGGTTAACTTCCTGGGTTCCCAAGTCCCAATGCTTCTCGTCTATGCTCAAGGCCCAGCTGCGCCCTTGTGCTTAGATTCCGTAAGAGGCGCCTGTGCCTTTATAACAGAAAATCCCATTTTGCCATCGACCTGTCCTTAGTTGTTTCTGGTAGTCACGACCACAAGAATCTTAATGAAAGCAATTTGAGGCAAACTCCTCTTCTCCTTCCCCACAGTGTGACTTCTGGGCACCCTCCCAGCTTCCTAAACAGTGACTTCAGCCTACAGAAGGGTATCCTACAGGTGACATCGGCTAACAGGGACAGTCAGCCTCCATCTCCTCCTGTGTCCGCTCAATCTTCCCCCAGTACCCTGGGGCCTGTGTTCGGGCAGCCTTCTAACCATGCATAATACGTGCTTCCCACACGCAGGGCTCCCCACGTCAGGCATACCTGACCCTTCCTTGTCCATTTCCTCCTTGTCTGCCCTCTTGGGTCCCAACATCCGAGTTCAGGGGTCAGTGTGTCATGCCTCCCAGGTGGCGGCCACAGTCTAATAGGGAGCTTCAAAGCCAGAAGGTCCCTCCTGTTTCTTTAAAACAGGAAGATATTTGGGGGGGGATTTTTTTTTTTAATTTCTTAAATTGACTTGATGGTAAGAGAGCTGGAGTAGGAGCTAGAAGTCTGGACTCTGGTCCTGGCTTTGCTTTTAACTTGCATGTGACTTTGGGCTTCAGTTTCTTCAACTGCAGAATGACAGAACTGGATGAGATCAGAGGCTTTCCAGGGAGCCCTGTGGAGGTCATCACCTTGGAAACCAGCAGGGAAAAGAAGATGCCACCGGGCCCTGCTTCCCTGCACTTGGAGCAGCCCCACTGGTGTCTATTTCACACACTGAGCATCTCTGTCACATGCTGGCCTAGCCCGGCTCCCTGAGAGGCAGAGTCTGAGGCAGAAGCACCTGTGCTAACATTTTGGGAGGGTGCGTAGTGCCAGGAGAGCTGATGTGAGGAAAAAGGAGTGTGACAGAGGAGGACAAAGAGCACACCAGTGCACTGCTGACCCGGCCACCGTGAGCAGCAGCAAATGCAAGATCTTAAGGAACCTTCTTTAACGAGTCTGCATGAAGCTTAGGGAAGTTCCTCCAAAAGAAGGAAGAGAAAAGAATGTATGTGCCAACCTGTTTCTTGTTGGTCAAAGGTTCACTCCATGGAGTGTCTGACACTCTGGCACTTCTGAGGCCAGAGTGTCAGAGGGGTGGGGGTGCGACTGGCTTGTGCTGGAATGAAACAAGTGGTGAGCACCTGGGAGAGAGGTGTGGCTGAGAGGAATGAAGGGGATGCATTAAAAAGTATCAGGTACAGCTATAGCTGAAAAAGAGTAAGAACATCCACTAAAATAAAAGTTGAAACCACTGGGCTGGATCATCTGAAAGGGCCTTTCCAGCTAAAAAGTTCCTTGCCGCTGTTCACTGAAATGGCAGCTCAGACAGCTGAGACCGTTTGCCCTTCTGGTGTGCAGGAACCATGTCCCCAGAAGGTTACAGGCAATGTCCCTGGAAATGTGTACCCCTCCGTGCCCAGGAGTTGGGCCAGCTTTGCTCTACCCCCCATTCCCTGAGAATCTCCATGCAATCTGAGGGCCCATGCAGATGGTGTTTTTAGAGTTCTGATGGGCTGAGAAAGAGAGGACTCATGTCCCGCCAGGCTGGGGGCAGTTCATCTTGTTCTTTCAGGAAAGCCTGGCTTCCCTCAGCCTGGACTCCCCTTCACTCAAGGGCCAGCTGCCGGCTCCAGACGGAACACAGATTTGTTGGTATTTAAGGGATTGGAGGATTAAATGGGTCAGAGAGGCCCCCTCCACCCAGCCTCATCCTCTAATGGCTGGAAGCCCACCCCCGGGTGTTACTAAGTCCATGATTCCTTCATGGGTGCCTCATGTCCCTTCCTTAGCAGATCAGCAGGCTTTCAAAGCCAGCAGCAAATGAGAAATTGGAGTCAGTGCGGGAAGCCTTGATGCTCCTTCTCAGGTATATACACAGATCGATCTGCAGATGGAAGATCTGATTCACCAAAATTAAACCTGGGATCCAAGCTGACACTGCCTGACCTTGGGCACACGACTTCGGCTCAGATTGATTTTTCTCTGCTTCAAAATAGGGACATCACCAGCTCTGCTTATGACAGGTGGAGAGCAAATAAGAAAGGATAAAAAGCTATAAAGCAAGCACGCCCTTCGGCGGAACACAAGGGGAGCAGCCACCCTAGGGAGGGGCCTGGACTGTACCCTGTGGGCATCGGGTGTGGCCTGTTGGCTGCTAGAGCCCAATGTGAGGCCGATGGACAATGACTGGATGCAGGCACCTTCCACAGCTGAGAGAGGGCAGTTAGGCTCTGATGAAAGAAGGAAAAAATCCAATACACATGTCCGAAGAGAAAACACAGGGAAGAAAGTGGAATGGAATAGGCATAGCTCACACCCCTCACATCTCAGAGGAAACATCAGGTTTAGGAGGCCACTGTAAGTAACAACGCCACCAGGGCTCTGTGCCAAGTGCTTCGTGTGCATTGCTTCATTTCCTCGTTGCAACCCTGATGCAGTGGATGCCCCAGGCTTCTCCTCCTCACAGCTGAGGACACTGAGGCTGGGAGGGGTTGAGCAATGCGCCCAAGTGTCAGAGCTACTGAGGAACAGCACCGAGACTGAAACCCAGGCAACCTGCCTCCCAGACTCTGGTCGGCTGTCACTTGTCTTTCTTCTCACAGGCAGTCAGGCAGCCTCTTTGCTTCTGATTGTTACTATTCCCTTGACACTCAACTCCCTCCGCCCAGCTCCCAGGTCTCATCCAAGCTTCAGATCCTTTCCCACCCCGACATTCAAGTCACAGCTAGGACGCTTCCCACACGACAATGTCATCAACTCTCTCCCCACTGTGACTGTTAGCAGTACAGGCCCTCCCTGGAACAGCTGCACCCCTCACACTCCACCTCTCAAGCCTCCAGTCTTGCCTTCTCTCATCCACCCCCTCACCACGGCTGGAAGAGTCTAAAATGCAATGTGGCTCTGCCACGTCCCTGCTCTACAGCTTTGTGCTGCTTCCAATAGTTCTCAGGATAAAGGCAGGGTCCCTTTCCAGGGTCGACTCTTACTCTCCGCCCAGCACTCTGCCGCTCTCACTGACCTTGTTTCTGTTCCTCCAAACACCAGCGTCCCTCCGGATGCTGGCCCTCCTGCCTGGTTGTTCCCACCGCCTGGAACGCCCTCCCCCCCACACCCCCACCCCGTGTCCTGTCGACTCCTGCTCAGACTTGCGCTGTCAGCTCATAAGCCCAAAGTCACGTCTGGGATGTCTGTCCTCCAGAAGCCTGTCTGACCCCAACCCCTCCAGGTCTCTGCCCGCACAATATTCAGTACTTTCCGCTTCACACCACTTACCGATCCCCTGCCCCCACCCCCAAACCCTGCTACAGTGGGGTTTATCCGTTCCTGACCGCAGATGAGCTGCTCACGGCTAGAAGTTAGTACACGCTCAAACAGGAGAAAGGGAAAGTGACACTTCCAAAGCCACAAAGTCAGAGTGACAAAGTCAGGACTGAAATCTGCATCACCCGCCCCGCCCCCCGCCCGCCAACTTGAAATGAATTCGAGGCTGCTCTGCGTGTTACCCTCCTATTCCACCGATTATTTAATTCCTAGCGTCGAGGGCCACAGAGCGGACTTTGTAAGAAGCGACGTCTTCCATTTGAGGGAGGAAGGACACGAATCCCCCCAATCCTTCCGGCCCTCAAGAACTAGGGAAACCGGCCTTGGCTCCTCCCCGAGGGAGCATTCGGGCTGGCCTTTCCGCAGGTGCCTGCCCAACTCCAGACCAGAAATCAGGCATCCTCCAGCCCAGGCAAAGCTACCCACCCCCACAGGCAACCCCAGCAAACCCCAGCCCCCACACAGTCATGGGTGCAGCTCACTAGGGCCTGCGCTCGGCTCCTGGCCGGAGACGCCAGGCTCGCCGCGGCCTTCCCGCCCGCCGCAGAGCTCGCCCCGCCTTCGTCGCTCCCTCGGTCCCTTTCCGGGTCCCTCCCTCCTCTAACCTCCACCGCCAGCCCCGCCCCTAGGTCTCTGTCTCCCGCCGGCCCGCCCTGGCCTGCCCCGGATCGCGGCATTTGTTGTCCCGGCCGACAGGCCAGCCGAGCCCTCTTGGCTCAGGAAAGCTGGGCGGAGCAGCCGTGGGCAGCGGGGCAGCCATGGAAGGCACGGCGCGGAGGCGGCAGCACCCAGGAGCGGCGGGCGCGCAGCCGGGCGCCTCCTTCCTGCAGGCCAGGTGGGCGCGCTCCGGCGGAGCGCAGCGCAACCGTGTCGCCGCCCGTGACGGGTTTGGGCGGCCCCAGTGGACCAGCGTGCGTCTGGGCCGGGCTGCGGCGAACCCCGGGGTGGGTCAGGGGCTGCCTAGGGGTCGGGCTTCCTTGCGCTACCTTTGCAGCATCCCTTGCCTGAGCCCCGCCTCCCGTTTCATTCTCTTCCTGGAGGTGCCCCAAGCCCTGCGACTTGGCCGGTGCTGGGACAGTCCTTCTGCTTGGAAGACCTCCCCAGGGGCCTTAAAAACTCCGGGTGGGGGCAGCGGGCTCAGAGGACACCACTGCTCACTCAGGTCCCCAACACACTTGCAGACTCGAGCGCCACCGCCAAGTTCTCGGGGTCCCTCCAACCCTGACCAGGACTTGGATCCTGGTGTTAATCAGGAGGCTGACTCCTTGTCCCGTGGAACCCAAGACTGAGAATGTAAAAGGAAGAGCGGAGAAGTGTGCACGCTCCTCCCCAGAGGAAATGAGGAAGGGCTGTCTTCACGTGCTTGCTGTCCCCTACGCTCACCGAAGGGAAGACTCTATTGGTTGGCACAGTTGGGACCAGGCAGGGTAGAGAAAGAGGCACGGGAGCCGCCTTTTAACCTCTCCCCCCGCCCCCGGCCCCATTCTACTTTCATCCCGTTTTACAGACTAGAAACATTCCAGTGCAGCAGGTATTCATTAAGCATCTCTAGTGTGCCCTGCGCTGTGCCAGGCACTATGGAGAAGCACAAGGTGAAGCCAGGAGGGGCTTACAGTAGGAAGGAGCTGGGAGGTCATCTTGGAGGGCTTCGTGGAGAAAGTGGCACTTGAGCTGAGTCTCAAAAGACTGGATAGGTGTTACAGGGAAGAAAAACTGTTCCAGAGAGGGAGAGTGTTTGGGGAACAACAAAGAATGCAATGGCCCTGAGCTTTCCAACTGCACGGTGGCAAGAGGACGCAGACTGGTTATGAAGGACCTTTAATGGCAGCAGGGCTAGGACTAGAGTGCAGAATTTAAGGAAGCACTCTCAGGACATGCTACAACCCCGGGAGTAAGTGCCTACCTAAGAGCTGGGCCCTACTTGCCTCACTGTCCTCCCCCTAGTTCCCGCTCTCATTGGCAGGTTAAAGATGTAGCCTTTATTCTGAGTACTGGAGAGTCACGGAAGGCTCTTGAGAACGAGGGTGCTTAGAGTCAATTCTAGGCAATTTGTGGTATGATTTCTGATGAGGGGGGAAGTCTGAGAGGCATGGCTGAGGGTAGCTCGTTGTCCTGCTATTGAGGGACATCTCAGATCAGGGGCCCTTTCACGCTGGGAGTGTAAGTGCCCCGAATTGTGGCAGCCCAGTTAGAACTGTCTGTGGGTGGTCACCACTGTATCTCAACGTGTGGGCCTTCCTTGTGCAGCATCTTAGTCTTTTTGTTTTGCATATGGGGAAACTGAGGCCCAGAGAGGTTGTATCATTTGCTGGGAAGAACCAGGGCCTAAACCCAGGGCTTCCGACCTCTGGTTTCTGCCCCTACTACTACACTACTCCTCCTCCTACTACTACTTTACTCCTGTGTGAGCTCCCCATCAATTAGGGAATTCCCTAGGAATGGGGTGAGAGGCTAGCTCTCTCTCAGGGTGTCTCTGCCCCCCTCACTGGGTGCTCGGCCCATTCTCAGTATGATTGATGCTCTTGACAGGTAAAATCCTAATTCCTAGGATTCGTGGATTTCCTCTGCTGCATCCTTACACACTTCTAATGACAAGGTGCTCATTACCTTTCCAGGTAGCTCATTCCTGCTCTATTGACAGGTTTTTTTGTGTGTGTATTGTAATCAAAGTGATACGTGGCCAAAATTAAATAAAATCGCCCAGAGGGTTCAGAGTAAAAAGCAACAGTCCCCCATTCTGTTTCTTTCTGGCATCAGAGAGAGCCATGTTAGTTTCTTTTAGCTCTTTCTGCCTGTTAAGTCGTATTTCTAAATAAGAATGACAAACACTGTGTAGCAGCTGCTGTGGACCAGGCCCTGCTCTAAGTTTCTGCACATATTAATTCGACAACACCTCTCGATGTCAGACCTACTAATTATTACCTCCTGTACAGATGAGAACATCGAGGTCCGTGAGGCAAGTAACTTGCCCAGGACCTGGTTGGTGGCAGAGCCGAGATATAAACCCAAGTGGTCTCCAAAGTCTATGCTCCTGAAAGTTATGTTCAGCTGTTACTTCTTGCTTTATCAACTTTACCTTTTAAGCTAAACACCGACTGACTTCTTCCTACTAGGATGTGGCTCACTTCTACCTCCCTCATCTTCCCAAGGCTGTGTTTTTAATCACCGTTTTCAGTATTTCTGTCACCGAGGTAGCCTTAGGGAATTGCATATACCATTATTTCTTTTTGGGTAAGTTGTAGGCAATACCCCTTGATTACTTTTCAAAAGGAGAATATTTGTCCTCTATCTACTCACCTTTAGCTCCTTTGTCCTTCCCTCCAGCCCCTGTCAGACAGAGTTCCACTCCAACGCTGTCCAGGCTGGCGACATTTACCTGCTGAGGTAAATGTTGTTGTCAGTGTTTTATCTATGGATTGATTCTAAACTTTGAAAATCAACATAATATTTTCATTAAATCAGCCATGCAAATAGTGTTCCCTACAGAGCCAAGCAATATGTAAGTTACATTTGCTTTCTTACATTGCTTTTTTTTTCTTGGAGTTTGTACTTGCCTTTTCTCCCTATTATGTGTCTTTATTTTCTCACATTTTGTGGAAACTTTGCATCATGTCAGGTATTCGTAGAACCCAAGTCATTCTGTCTCTAGTCCCTGTTCATGGGCCCTGCTTTACTCCACCACGGCCAAGGTCCCTTCCCTTCCTGAGGGGCAGTCCTGCAGACGCTGCTGACTGCTTTGAATATTTCAGCTGCATGGCATGCGCTCCCCAGCTGCTGTGGTGTCAGTGTCGCCATATGGTAGACTTGCAAACCGGCAGAGGAGGCCAGCCTTGTTTCGGGTTACCTGCCATTGTGCTGTCACTGTTCTCAGCAGAAGTTTCTGATGATTGAGACCTAGAGCTGCTATAGGCTTGGGGACATGCGGGTGTCAGTGTGTGAAGTCTGTGGAGTCAGCAACTTGGGACAGGCTTAAGATTGCTCACCCCCAGGACAGGGTCTGCAGGAGGGGACGACTTCCCCCTCCATGATCTGCCTGCAGTGGTCGGAGATCCAACTGCATAAAACAGTTAGATGCTGATCAGTGGTTCCCGCGTTGGGTGTCTGCCCTGTACCTGCCCTTTTTTTTCCTGCCCTGCTAAGCCAGGATGGACTGGTGGCAGGGAGTCCCACTGGCTGAGGTACCTCCTGAAGTGGAGGAGGGGATAGCTACTGAGCTCCTGTAGGGTCACAGCTTCCTGAGACCCACACCTACCTGCTTTTCCAGGCTTTCAAAATGCCTTTAGTCCCTGTACCAAACAACCTTCTCTTTGCCCAGTTTGGAGGCTTCTGGAGCAAAACACTGAGGGCTCTTATCTTCCTTCTCCATCCAAGTCCTTCAGACCTGGCAGTTGTCACTGTCTGCTCTTTGAGGCCTTTACCCACGGCTCACTGAGGGGAAGGGGCAGAGGGGGCTCAGACTCCTGAGCAGTCCTCCCAGTTAGCTTCTGGATGTCTACCCAATCTGAAGGCTCAGCCAGCCCGCCCTTCTCTTTCTCCCCACCAAAAGCCAGGCATCTCAACTCCATGCAGTGCCTTTCCCACTTTTACCTCCGGACCTTTGGTCCTGCTCTCCTGCTGCTTGTCTGCCTGGTTAAATGTGCCCATCCGTGCTGTGGGCTCCCTTCCCTGTGCACTTTGGGTACTGCTCCGGGCTGCACTGGTCCCTCTCTCACTTGATCGCCTAGTGGGCTGCACAGCTTAATCTAATGAACAGAAACAGAACAGCAAGCAATTAAGGGCACAGGTCTTAAATTCACATAGACCGGGTTTGAATTCTGTGCTATTCAGCATTCCTGGGTCTCTGGTGACAGAAAGCCGGTGCCAACTGCAGCACCCTTAGCAAAGGGGAGTGGATCGGCTCACGGGGCCAAACCACTGGCCTCGGGGATGCCTGGAACAGGAAATGTGAACACTCTCAGAGCTTTCTCTCCCCTTTTCCCTTGATCCTTTCAGTAGGGCTGCTTCGCTCTCACCGGGCTGCCCCTTGAAGCTGGAACCTTGGCCCCGGGGAGCTGTGGGTTTGCATCTTAGCACCCCAGCACCAGAAAGGAAGGTGTGCTTTCCACAAACCCTCGTTAGAAAAGTCTCACATGGTCCAGCCTGGGTTACTGGCCCTCTCTGTGGCTAAGGAAACATCTCTCTTTTAACATTGATTTTAGAGAGAGGGGGCGGGGAGAGAGAGAGACACCTGTTTGTTGTTCCACCCATCCATGCATTCATTCATTGTTTCTTGTATGTACCCCGACTGGGGATCGAATGTGCAACCTTGGCCTATCAGGACAATGTTCTAACCAACCAGGCTAGGCCTGGCCAAGGCAGAAACATCATCTCATACCAGAAGAAGCAGGGAGTGGGCAATAGGCTGACAAAAGAGACCATTGCTGCAGCTCCTCACTACGGTAACGGTGACGTTGGCTAAGCACGTGTTGCCTGTGAGCCTCAGTCTCCTCATCTGTAAAACGGGAGGGATAAGCCCTGCTTCCTGGTGTTGCTGTGAGGGTACAACGAGATGGTGCAGGTGGATCTCTTAGCACAGCAGAGGGGACCGCGCAGAGGGGCACGGAAGGCTCCGTTGACCTGGGAAGGCCCACACCAGCTGTCGGGCCTGCCACCAGAAGATGGCGAGATCCCAGGAGCTTGCCTTCCCCGTCTCATGTCTGCTCTGCCAGCCCAGTGTGGGCCATTCATGGAATTAGCAGAAAAGGATCCTGGAAAGTCAAAGAAGCAATAGCAGTCTTGACAGAAGAAAACCTCTGGGGTGTCTTTAAGCTAATGTTTGCCACTAGAAAGAATGAGTAACTGGTAATTGAGACTGTTTCAAATCAGCTACTAATCACGGAGCCTAAACCAGGTACTGGGCTGAGAACTCTGGAGAATACAAATCCATGCCTCACAGTTTCTGTTCTCAGCACAAATGGGGCAATGAAATGCACACCTCAATCATGTTAGGAGGTAGCTGGCTGTTTGTCACTGAGGTGTGCAACTGCGGCGGGGATGCCGAGAAGTGGATTTAGACTGGCGGGAAGTAGGTGAGTTGAGAGAAACTAAATGTCACCCCTCGTTTCAAAGGTCTGAATAAGAGAGGAACACTCCAGCCCTGTGCTGTCATGGCCTGGCTGGGAGTTAGAGACGAAGCACTCCCCATGGTGGCCCCGTAATGAAAAGCTTCATCAGGGATGCCTTCCTGGAGAAGGTGGGGTGTGCACTGGCCCTGGACTTCAGCTCACCTGTAAAGAGCAGAAGGCTAAATGCTTTGCGGGGGGTTGAGGGGCAGGCATCCAAAGATGTATTGTTAGATGGTGCTGTAAATCTTGCCATGGCTCTCATGTCAACTCATCACTGGCTTCCTTCTCAGGTTTCACTGTGGGTTGGTGGAAAGGGCCACCAGCAGCCCCATTCACACCACCTCATGGTTCAGGAACCAAGTGAGGGAGGGCCCATTCATCCCAGTCTACAGCCTTTAAGGCAAATTTCACTAGAGGGCTCTAATTGGTCCAGCTCAAGTCACATGCCCATCCCACGGACCAATCACTGTGGACACAATGATTAGGTTGGACGTTAAAAACAAGCTCTTAAGCCTAATTATTTAAATTCACATATTTAGCAACATAACTGAGCAAGTTACTTCATACCTTGGGTCTCCATTTTTTCACTTGTAAAATGGGGGTAATTCCAACCTCAAAGGGTTTCTGTGACTATTAAAACAATCAAATGAGATAATACGTGTAAACAGCTATAATAGTGCCTGGGATGCAGCAAGTGCTGGATAAAGGTTAGCTACTATCCTCCATCATCACGTCTCATGTTTTTTCAGCTGCATTTGAATTTTTTGCCCCATCTGATTTCCTCATCCTTCTGTAGATGAGAAAACCCAACACTTACTGTACCTGTTTGGCAGCTTCGTGCCTGAATCACAGAGAAGCTTAAGTCAGGGTAACTGGAGTTCACACCCAGGATACCTTCACCTTGGCCACATGCCCTGACCCTAGTGTTTCCTGCAAAGTCCCTTTCCTAGAACGTGATTATGTGTGCTTCCTCCTGCTCCCAAACCCCCAGACCTTCCTGTGGCTCCCTGGTGGCAGGCGGGGGAGATTTCCATGAGAGGAAGGGAGCGCACTCACCCCTCTTGTCTGTTCCTTCACAGGCACAGCTCCATCAAAGCTGATGAGGCCGCCAGCACGGCTCCCTTCCACCTCGACCTCTGGTTCTACTTCACTCTGCAGAACTGGGTTCTGGACTTTGGCCGCCCCATTGCCATGGTGAGTGTGAAGCTGTGGGCAGCCTCAGCCAGCGTGAGAAGATTTACCGTGACTTGAATTAGTTGAGTGACCTTAGATAAGTCATTTCCTCTACTGGTAAACAGCAAGAATAGGCCTGGATGATCATGTCCTTTGACTCCATGACTGTGGCCAGTGGGGCAGCTGCCAGCAAGCAGGGGACGGGCTCTGAACAGTCATACTGTGCCCTACTTATATCTCACCTGCAGATCATCAAACTAGACGAGTGTGGGAAAGGAAGCAGAGCATGTCCACTGGCCATCGCCACAGCCTTGAACAGTGTTATTTTTCTGGAGGTAGCGTATAGGCTGATTTTGCACAATACGTATGACTCTGAGCCTCGGGTAATTTTTGTGCCATCTGGTGAAACTGTCCCCTTCCCTCCAAGGCTACTTCATGCATCAGTGTATGGTGGTGGCCTCCACAAAGAAGGTTCCTACTGAAAGACCAGCAAAGTCCTCACTTGTGATAGATATAGATAGATAGATAGATAGATAGATAGATAGATAGATAGATAGATAGATAGATAACAGAATGTGAAACTATTGAATGAGGCACCACCATGTGCCAAGGTGTTAATTTTCATGTGGGGGCAGTAAAAATAACAACATCGTCCACTGAAACTGACACACTGCACTATGGCCTTGTAGTGATAATGCAATTAGCAAAGCCCTTTGGGAAAGCAGGTTGTCAAGGTGATAACTAGTACCTCGAATAGTGCCTAGCATGGTACATGCTCAGTACACTTTTATTGAGTGAGTAATAACAACACGAAGGTAGAAATAGCAGCTAACATACGTGAAGTGCTTATTCTGTTCTAAGCTCTTTATGTGGTGTTCTAAGCTCTTTTATGTGGCTCTTTACTCAGTTCTCACGTTAACACTCCATTAATCTCAACTTTATAGATGAGACATGAGGATACAGAGGGTGACTGGCTCGAGCTCACCCAGCTAGCAAGTGAGCGAGCCAGCATCGGCACCCAGGCACCCTGGCCCCGGCCTTTCCATCATGTAACTCTCCAGAACCTTGATATGTTCATCCCTCTGACCCAGTAAGATCCCTTCTAAAAATCTGCTCTGAAGACGTAAAGAGACAAACAGCCTGTCTAACCAAAGATGCTCATTACAGTGTAGCTTACGGTAGCCAAAACCTGTGAGTGGTTTGTGTCCAGCAGTAGGGACGGGTCAGTCAACTTCGCTGTGTTCAGTATAGAGCATGGTACCTGGCCATTAAGCACAGATTATGGATACTGTGGAGCAACCTGAAATGTTTAAGGAGAAAAGAGGTCCCTAAGTGGCATGAGTTATTGACAGATTGTAAGTCAGTTACAGTCCTAAGAATTTCTTGTTCTTTATTTCATTGTGTGCATTATTACACGTCCCCTTTGCCCTCCAGCCCATCACCCTACCAATCTCCCAAACATGTTTCAAAGGCAGAGGGGAGGAGGAGAAGCTTTCCTAGCAGTGTGTTAGGGAGGCATTATGGTGGATGCGGGTTCTCTTTTCTGCAGACTTTTTTTTTTTAATGTAGGAGAAAGAAAAAAGGGACAGAGTCAGGAGTCAGGGCATCTGACCAGGTTTTGGGTGACTATGGGCAAGCCACTGTCATTTGGGCTTCAGTTCTGTCATCTGTAAGAAGACTGGTGACCCAGCTGCTCTGAGCCCCCTTCCCTTCCAACATGAAGTTCCCGCATACTGGAGGACAAAGGAGCTGCTCGTCAGACTGGTGTTCCAGGGAAGGGAGAGAGGAGGCCAGGAACAGGGTCACGGCTCCGCCCACTGTCTAGAAGCCCGTCTCATCCTGCCTAGAACTGCTGTGGCCACTCTAACCCCAAGCCCACTCGTGGGGAGAAGACGCACTTAAAGAGCTCATGTATATACTGGAGCTTTTCAAATGTATGCACAACAGTCCCAAACTCCTAATAACTACAAAGTAAAACCATTTACCAGTTATAAAAGTCATATGCTGTAGCGTAACAAGTCAGTTCATACCCAGGTGTACAAAGTGGTAAGACTCCCTTTCCAGTCCCACCCCTGACAGTTTGGAGGACACCCTTCCACTCCTTTCTCTGCTCACACAGACATACATGTACATCCTTATTCTTTTCCTAACCAAAATGAGATTTTATTTATGCCCGTTTTACTATAGCATGGAGAGCTCTCCACGTCAGTACATATAACATGTCATTTCTGTTAGGGGCCACTGAGCCTTCTTTATCTGCAGTAAATATGTACTACAGTCTATTTGATCAGTCCTGTTTGGCTGAAGAGTCGGCCTCTTTCTGGTATTTTGCTGTCACACAGAGGATTTCAGCCACCATGCGTGTCTTGCTATAAATAAAGATACAGAGCTACACACGCAAATAAGAAAGAGAAAGAAAGAAATTGAGATTTCTGTATCCTGGGAGTTGTGTTTCTGCAGATTAGTTTTATCCAATGTGCCATTTTTTAATTAAAAGTTAAAAAGTTTTAGTTTTTACTGAAATTTTTGGCCACTACACATGTTCTCAATCAACAGACACTGGAAGTGTAGTTTGGCCGTGTGTGTGTGTAATATTGAATAAGGATTTTCACTGTGACGCCACAAGGCCAGGGCGTCCTGGGGTAGACCAGAAGGAAGGACCGCCCTGGTTGCCTCCTCTCTCAGGGGAGGCAGGGAAGGGGGAACTGAGCCGACTCTGGGGAACTCCCTTATTTTCTCCTTTGTTCCGAATGTTCCAAATCTTGATCTGATTTGGAAGGGGCCGCTACTCGGTGGACAGGGCCTTTTTCCACACCTGGGCCCGGCTGCCAGAAGAACTGGTCATTGTTGCAGGACCTGGAGTGCCAGATCCCTAGGAGTCCATTTAGCCACTGGGGCCACATTTCCTATGTTGCAGATGGGAAACCTTACAGAGGGCAAGGACTTGCCCAGGGTCACCAGGAAAGCTGGTGGCACCACCAAGTCCCAAAGGAGCCTCCAACTACCAGGCCAGTACCCAGGGACGTTTATTGAGCACCCCCCGGGTCAGGGGCTCTGGCTCAGGCCTGGATTTGCATCTCCCGCGTGCCTGGGGACGAGTCCGTTTAACTTGTCCATGCCACTGTTTCTCTGCCTGGGGGCTGCCAAGGGGACCCCAAGAGATCACAGAAAGAATTAAGAGTGTGTAAAGGAGGTAGGGACTCGCTCCCCAAGGGCCTCATGGGGCTGTGCCTGGTAAACCCACCCCTTTTCTTCTCAGCTGGTGTTCCCTCTCGAATGGTTTCCGCTCAATAAGCCGAGCGTGGGGGACTACTTCCACATGGCCTACAACGTCATCACTCCCTTTCTCCTGCTCAAGGTAAAGTCCCAGTCCCACCGCCCTCCCTCCCCACCCTCACTGCCACCTCCCGCCGACAGGCAGCTGGTGCCGGCCCGGGGGCGCCCTGAATCAGGCTCTCCCTGAGTCTGGGGACAAAGACTGTGATAGAGGGGACACATCAAAAGCCAGGGGGTACAGGGGAAACCATAATACATGTTGGGAGGCTGAGGCAGGAGGGGCTGGGTTGCCGGGAAGAGGGCAGGGACCAGTTAGGAAGGCAAGTGAGGGCCAGGTGACAGGAATGGCAGCAGTGGAGGGGGAACTCTGCTCTGGCCTGGACATCCCTGACTTTGAGATGCCGCTGGGAGCACAGAGCTTGCCAGGGCTGCGGGCTGTGCACTTTGCCACACAAGGGCCCTCCACTGTCACTGTCTGCTATCCTCATTTTGTTTTTAGATATTTCAAACCTCTGCAAGTCAGAAATGTGTAACTACAGAATTCAGAGGGGTCCTCAGCTAAACAATATAACTTCAGAAGCACCTGTCCCTCTCCCATCCCTGTCATTTTTTTGTGTTTGTCCTGGACCAGTCGCTCAGAAATCGGAGGGTCTCTTCAACAGGCCAGCCCAGCCACCCCGGGCCACAACTGGGGCAGTGGGAGGGCTGACCCTCGCACCCCAGCGTCTGGGTGGAAGGCCTGGCCGTCGCATCCAGGACCTGGCTTGTGTGCGGCCCTGGGCGAAGAGCTGGCCCGTTTCCTCTCTGGGGAAAGGAGGTGCTGTTCTCGTGGCCCTGTTGGAGTCCGAGGGATCATGTGAGACTCCGGAGGGTGGGCTGGCCCACTAAAGGGACCCACCAGTTTGTGAGGGACTTCCCAGCGGGTGGCACCCATCCTACCTCAGGTGTGAGGGCGTGAGGCAGAGGGTGTCTCTGGTTTTGACCCAAGGGGTCAAAGCACTAGGCCTCCCTCTGCCCGCAGCTCATCGAGCGATCGCCCCGCACCTTGCCACGCTCCGTGGTCTACGTCAGCATCATCACCTTCATCATGGGCGCCAGCATCCACCTGGTGGGAGACTCCGTGAACCACCGCCTGCTCTTTAGTGGCTACCAGCACCACCTGTCAGTCCGTGAGAACCCCATCATCAAGAATCTCAAGCCCGAGACTCTGGTGAGGCCGCCTCCCCCACCGCAAGTCAACCCTGGAGGCCAAGCAGATGCCCCTGCCCATCTCTGTGCCCGACCCTCTGCCGAGGGCAGTCTGCTAGTGAGGGCACTGTCGCAGGATAAGCCAGGACACCCCTGTTATTAGGGAGTGCGCGCTGACTTCCAGCGGGGCCCCTCCCACTGGAGCGCAGGGTGTGAGGACTGAAGGGGAGGTGCGGGGGCAGAGGCCGGGCGTGGGTGGGGGAGGGCGGCCAGGGGGCTGCGTGGGCCGGCCCCTCTCACCGTGTCGCCCCTGCACCCTCAGATCGACTCCTTCGAGCTGCTTTACTACTATGACGAGTACCTGGGCCACTCCATGTGGTGAGTGATGGGGTCAGTCTGTCTACGCAGGGACTCTGGCGCCCCGCCAGCTCTGCCACCGGCCTCAGGGACACCCGGCCAGACTCTCTGGGCCTCGGTCCTCCAGGCGGTCCTCGAGTGCGGAGGCTGGAATGGGTTCACCTCCCCTCCCTGCCGGGGAGCTGCGAACTCCGCGGGGGTGAGGCGAGTGGGCCCTGGCCCCTTCGCCTCCTCCCGCCGGGCTGTGCCCGCGGTGGCCACTAGAGGGCAGCGAGCGGCCGTCCCGCCCTCACCCAGAGCCTCCAGCAGATGGGGGAGGAGGAGGCCTTCGCGCTGATAAACATCCCCTCCACCCCGCAGGTGATGTGGGAGTGAGGACCCCCACGATGCCCTGCCGCGGCCTGTGGGGGTGGAGGAGGGAAGCAGCTGACGAGGGCCAGCTGGACCAGGTCGGGCGGTGCTGTTTGTGCTCCGCACCCTGAGAACTCCCAGGAATAGCCCCTCCCTTTCTCTCCGCACTAATGGGGGCTCAGCCACAGGACGTTCAGGGCCCGAGTGCGGAGCAGTCGTCCAGTCATCCGTCCCAAACACCCCGCCCCCCACCGCCCTACTTTACACAGAATAAGCTGGGGCCAGTGGAAGAAGGTGTGAGCATGGACTGACAGCTAGGTAGTGACAGAGGCAGCCCTGGACCTGGGGACCTCGCTCCTCAGTGGGGCGGGCTCTCCTGTCCCACGTGCCCTACACTTGTCACTGTGTTTCCAGGGTCTGTTTTGGAGCATGCACAGTTGCTCCTCCTGGCTCAGGGGGTCCTTAACAGGCCCCTTGCCAGCCCTCCCTGACCTCTGCCACAAGACCCTTGCCAAGGAAGGCTGGAGAAGGGAGGAGGAGAGAGGAGCTGCAATAGCAGGACAGGGAGTGTTTTGGGGGGCACACGAGGGGGAACGAGAAGGGCGGTGGGTAAGGAGACAAGAGCCGATGTGTCCACTCTTGCAGGGGAAAAGGGGTACATGGGAAGAGCGGCCTGTGTGGGGGGAGGAGAGACGGTGGTCCTTTCGAGTGAGGGGTGTGTGGGGGGCAAGGGTGAGGCTGTGGGCTGAGTGTGAGTGAAGGGGCTTCACAGAGCTCCTGGGTGGCCCCCACAGGTGCAGTTCTCCTTTGTACACACCTGGACCACAGGCTGCTCTTTGCTCAGCCCTGCTGCTTGCACCTGTTTCCCAGCCAGCGAGGGGCCGGGGCTATAGTAGGCTCCGAGCCCGAGGCAGAGACACCCTCTCACGTGACAGCATGAGCAAGGTGGCCAGGGCAGTGTGGAAGGAACATTCCCATCCCCCGCCAGCCTGTGGGCCTCTGAGTTGCATGTGTCCAGGGCGCAGGCCTCATCTTCCTGCTTCCTTCCTACCCCACCCTGGACCCCCAGCACAGGAAAGGCTGGCAGGGGCTACGAGTGCCCTCCCCCAAACCAGCCCAAACCAGGCATTTTGTAACCCATGAAGTGACACTGCACGAGATGTCGCAAGAAACCAGTACAAGGACCCGTGGGAAAGACGGACTGGGTGGAGGTGGGTGGGAGGGGCAGGCCTCTGAGGCACTGGCTTCCCTGTTGCAGGTACATCCCCTTCTTCCTCATCCTCTTCATGTACTTCAGCGGCTGTTTCACTCCCACCAAAGCTGAGAGCTCAATGCCAGGGGCGGCCCTGCTCTTGGTGGTGCCCAGTGGCCTGTACTACTGGTGAGTGGACATTGGGGATGAAGGGGACACTCTGATCCTGGCACTAAAAATGTGCCTTTGACCACAGAGCTGCTATGTGACCCCAGGTGAGACCCTTTTCATATTGGAGCCCCTGCTTCCTCCTCTCCTAGTTTGGACAGTGACAGTAGCATGTGGTGGCCAATCTGTTACCAGGGAGCCAGGCCTGAGGGTGTTATTGCCATCCTCGTTCCCCTCTACCCTGAGCCCCACTCCCAGAACCCCAGAGCCACCTTCGTTGGGGCCAGTAGACTCCATCTCTAACACCAAGCCCTGTAGAGCCCCTGGGTCTCAATTCCCCTCCCTGTGAGATGGGGCAATACCTGCTTGTCTCCACCTCAGGAGCTGGTCAGAATCAGGGGGAGACAAAGGAGCTTTATAAACCAGAAAGCACCGTGGCGATGACGAAGACAGATAAGGGGGGAATCCCATGGCCCAGAGCTCCCTGCCTGGTGTCTTTTTCCCTCCAGCTCTCTCTTCCCCTTAGAGGGGACCCACACTCTTACCCCTCCTCCCCTTCCACCCTGAAAACGGGCCCCCCCCAGGGTGGGGGGTGAGTATCACAGGAAGGACTGGTCCTTCTCTCGTGGGAAGCCTTCATCAACATGGAAAGGACCTTCTTTCCTGGGGCCAGCTGCAGCCCAGCTCCAGGGTCTGTCCCCTGACTGGCTGAGATGGTCCACCCCTGAGGACAGAATTTAAAAAATGGGTGTCAACTATAGCAAGAGGGAAGGAGGCTAGATGTGGGAAAGCGCTTCCTGCCCAGTTTGTCCCCAGAGCGTGTTAGTGCAGTGAGAGCCACAGCAGCGGCAGCAACCACTTGTCGAGCAGTGTGCTTTCCCAAGTGGGACGTGTACACAGCTCATCAGTAACCTTGAAAATGGGGCCATTTGTGCCCCCTCTATGAGGAAGAAAACGGGCTTTGAGACGTCATGTAAGTTCCCCAGGGTCACACAGCTGCAGAGCTATAATTCCTTGAGTGAAGTGGGTCAGCATTGGGGTTCTCTCTAGAAGAGGGGAGTGGACCAGATAACCTCTCAGAAGCCCTCCAACAAGTGTTGCTATGTTTCTGGCCACGTACTAGGTGCAGCCTCTGGAGCTGCAGGGAACCCTGGGAAATCTGAGACTGTGCCCCAGCCTTCAAGGAAACAGTAGTGACAAGTCCCATAAATCGCAGCCACATTCCCAAACTCAGATGTATATAGGAACCAAGCTGGTAACAGAAATGCATCAAACATCAAGTGAGGCAACAGGGAATGGTGGGGATTGTGGCAAACTGTAAAATAATGCTCTAATGGAGCAGCTGCTTTCTCGTCTAATCAGTTATTGTCATGTGAGAATACAAGTCTAATGTAACCAGAGAAACCAGAAATCCACATTTTCAGGTATTTTGTTATTTAAATATTGGCAACAAACTCAACATTTAAAAAAATAGCAACTTCCCAGCCAAATCACTATGGTACATAGGGGCTGTGGCTCAAAGCAGTATGGTCCCATGAGCCCCTCATTAGATGAGCTGTTCTGACTGACTGACTGATGGACTGAGGGGGGCACCCTGGTCCCTGGGTGGAGGGGGGATGGTGAGCAGGACAGGACGGTCACAGCACCCGCCTCACCTCACCCACTGGCCTCCTCAGGTACCTGGTCACCGAGGGCCAGATCTTCATCCTCTTCATCTTCACCTTCTTCGCCATGCTGGCCCTCGTCCTGCACCAGAAGCGCAAGCGCCTCTTCCTGGACAGCAACGGCCTCTTCCTCTTCTACTCCTTCGCCCTCACTCTCCTGCTTGTGTCCATGTGGGTCGCCTGGCTGTGGAATGACCCTGTGCTCAGGAAGAAGTACCCAGGCGTCATCTACATCCCTGAGCCCTGGGCCTTCTACACCCTCCATGTCAGCAGCCGGCACTGAGCCCCTGGCATCAGCCACTGGTGCCCTTTTGGCAGGAGATGGGCCATAGAGGGAGTCTGAGCAGGGGTGTTGTACATGCGTGTGCGTGTGTGTGTGTGTGTATGTCCACCCACCTGGGCATAACCGTGACTGAGAATATGAATGGGAGTGCTCACTGTGTACATGGATAGGTGTGCGTGTGTGCATGTGTGTGTCCACCCACCTGAGCATAACTGTGTACAACCATGCACAACCAAGAACATGAGTGGGAGTGTGCATTGCGTACACATGTGGAGTGTGTCATCAGGAGACTTGATTCTTTCAGTCAAGCTTCTGTTTGGTCTGGATCTTTCCAGGGTGGGATTTAGTTTCAGGCAGTGCGTCCAGGCCAAGATATGGGCCCTGCCTTTGCTGTGAACCTGGCGAGAGTCGGAGCCCATCTCTCTCTCACTGCTCAGGGCTGATCCTGTCTTCCCTCGAAGCCTCTACTGCTACCCCTGCAGGGGAGGCCTGGGTGTGGCCATGCAGAGGGGATCCGGTGTGTCTACCCCACCTGGCCTGCTCCTCAGACCCACCCTGACCCTGGAAACAGAGTACATACGTTACATGAACTTTCTGTGTATTACTGAGCAAAGCACATCCCTTCTCCGGGTTTCATTTGCACTAGATGAGCTCAGGGTCCCAGAGTGGATTGTGGCTAGTTGCAGTCTCCTCTCGGGGCAACCTGGGAATGGGCAAGAAGTTTTATAGTGTCCCTGTCCTCACACCCTAAAGGTTTATAGTGTCCCTGTCCTCATACCCTGAAAGGGGTATGTGCATCCCAGACCCTCACCCACCTCAGGTTACGTGAGGTGTTGAACCACTCGCCCCTGAGGATGCACCCACCCCAGCTGGGGTGTGCTCCCCACCCACCCCCCTAACCACCGGCCTGATGTTGGGGGTCTGGCAGTGGTAGCTTCCCCAACCAGCCCCTCTGCCAGAAGCCCTGTCTCTGTCCTCTCCCTCGGGGGTGGGGGGTCGTGGTACCACTTCCTGTCAGCCTGACTGCAGGTTTCCGAGCCGCAGCTGATGGCAGAGTTCTCGACTGAACCGTGGACTCTGTGGAGAGGAGGTATCAAGGCTCTCTGCAGTCGGCCTTGCCTCAGTCTGGACCTCAAGCCTTCGGCCAGGGCCCTGCTCCCAGAAGAGACTCCGCGTCCCCAGCAGGATGCCCCCAGCCCCAGTCTCCCAGGCGCCGCTGCACACAGGCCTCCAACAGCTGCAGGCCTGGCAGCCGCCTTCCCAGCAGCCCTGGCCCAGGTGTGCTTGTGGGAGTCAGGGGGCCTGTGTTGCTTCCCCCGGCCTCTACCTCCTCTCCTGTGTTCTCAGGGAGCCTATGCCTCAGATTCTCCTTTCATGTTGGAGTCCCTCTGCTGCCCCTTGGGTGTTCTCCAGCCTCTGGTCAGTCCCTGTCTGCTGGCAGCACCGGGCCCTGTGAATAAAGGCAGTGTGAAGCCACGCCTGGCTGGGGCTGCTTTGTGAACTGGGGAAGCAGGAGGGAGGGAGTCTGGGGCCCAGGCAGGAGTGCTGGGTAGACCCCAAGGGCCCACTCAGTCCCACCTGCCTGAGAGTGGGTGCTGCCACTGGCCCTCCATGCCACTTTGCGGGGTCCCCGGGTTGGGGAGAAGTGGGGGCAAGAAGGGCCTGGGTCAGTCCCAGCCCTCTTCAGAGGAGTAGGGGGTGGGCAGGAGGGGGCATCTCCAGACCTGCCCCTCAGAGATGCCCCAGCCCAGTCCAGAGGCTGAAGCAGAGAAGGCCCCCTTAGAGGGGGTTGGGGGCCAAGTTTGTTGGAGGTTGGTACTTAGCCTTGGGCCAATCACTTAATCTCTAAGGCCCTCAGCTCTTGATCTTCAAAGGTCCCAGCTTCTCTAGGCAGGCCCGGAACTTCCTGGGCTGCTGTTACCAGACAACACAGGGGGGCGCCTGGGAAGGAGCCTTTCTGCACCGCTGAGCCCCAGCGCCCCTACCTGCTCAGCAGCCTCGTTGATCCCTTTCCCATCTCGAGGACGCTGCCCCTCCAGCCTCTCTGGGGCCTAATCACAGACGGACGCAATAGGCATCTTCTGAGCAGGCGCAGGCCTGGCTGTGTGGAGACCTGGAGCTTGTACAAGGCGAGGGGCCCTTGATAAGAAAAGAGAAAGAAAAAGTGGATAAAAGGGATGAGAGCGAATACAGTTGACCCTTGGACACCACGGGGGTTAGGGGCGCCGACCCCTGCAGACCCAAATCCTGCGTGTAACTTACTTTTAATCCTCACCGAAGAACATGCCTATTGATTTAGAGAAAAAGAGGGGAAGGGAGGGGGGAGGGAGGGAGAGAAACATCAATGTGAGAGAGATACCAATTAGCTGCCTCTCAGATGCTCCCCAACCAGGACCAAACTCACAACCCAGGCATGTGCCCTGACCGGGAATCGAACCAGTGGCCTTTCAGTGTATAGCACATCCAACCCACTGATCCACACCCACCAGGCCCACTTACCTTTGACTCCCCCGAAACTTAACTACAGTCAGTCCTTATATCCTTGGGCTTCACATCCGTGGATCCAAAGAGTATTTCACTGACCACTAACAACCTACTGTTGACCAGAAGCCCAACTGATAACTGGTATTTTCTGTTATATGTATTATATGCTGTATTCTTACAATAAAGTAAACTAGAGAAAATGTTTTTCAGAAAATCAAGAGGGAGAGGAAATACATGTACTGTATTTATTGAAAAAAACCCACATGTAAGTGGACTCGCACAGTTCAAATCTGTGTGTTCAGGAGTCGACATAGAAGGGGAAGAAGTCACACTGAATTATTAGAGGCTTAGAAATTTCCGCCCCTTTCACAGATCTCTGGGAAGGGCACTGGGAAGGTCTCTCTGGAGATACTCTGCGACCTGGCTCCACTGCACCGTCTGAGTCAGAGACCCGGTGGTGGGGCCCCCCAGTGGTATGGAGGGGGTCTGCTTTCCCCTGCAGCGTTGAAGGGGGGCGGGCACACACCCAGGGCGCCACACAGGTTGATGTGTCTTTGGACAGTGAGCCTCATGTAGCCACCACCCTCCTGCAGGTGCTTCGGTCACATGAGAGACGATGCCCCTAAAAACCTAAGGAAGCAGCTGGCAAGGGTGCGTCTGTGAGATGCCTTTGGGGCGCACGGCCTCAAACCCCAGCACACGCTGACTTAAACCCAAGGAAATGTGTCTCCCCGACGAGCCCCTTCCCAAACGCAGGGGCTTCCAAGTGCGGGCGTTGGCCTGGTCCCCGCAGACTTCCCCCAGCCTTGGCCCTGTTCCCATGCCCTTCCAAGGCCCCACCTGACTGTCCTTCACCTCTTCTCTCCGACACTTAGAAGTTCCCTCCCCTCCTGCTTCCTGCACCAGGGGCCAGCCTCTCCTCTCCCCAGCCCCACCCGGAGGGAGGGGGAGCCCTCCAGCTGAAACTGTCTGGTCTAAGAGGTGATTCAACACACAATTTGGGGGAAGAGAGAAGCATCCACGTGGAGATGGCCAGGAAGGGAGGGAGGAGAATGGACCAGAGGCAGGCCCCCTGGTCCACATACATGCCTTGTACAAATTAGCCAGAGGTCCCTCTTCCTCTGGGCAGGTGCGGCCCCTCGCTGGGACCCACTTGTCTCCTGGGCCAGGACCCCTTGCACAGAGCACAACCTATGCAGCTATACATGCGGGTCCTGATGGAGGGGGGACCCTGGAGCTGCCAGCTGTGCACAGGCAGCTGGATGGGGAGAGCCCAGCCACCCGGCTGAGCAGCTCCAGGGAATGCCCCACCCTGCCCTCACTTCCTCTGAGTGTGTGTGTGTGTGTGTGTGTGTGTGTGTGTGCGCGCGCGCGCCCAGTGGGGGTTGGGGAGCAGCACAAACCACTGAGGAAACAGGGAGGGTCAGCAGCTTCTGACGGAAGAAGTGGGGGCTGTGGAGGGGAGAGAAGGGAAAGGAAGAAAAGGAGGAGCTTCCTGCCCTGGTCAGGAAAGTCGCAGAAGCTGCCTCCCTCTGAGCCCCCTGGGGAGCCCACCATGGGGCCTAGAGCCCAAAGCTGGCGCCCACCCCCACCACCCCATCCATCCCCAGGGTGCATGGAAGGAGGGAAGGGAACCGACACGTTGAGAACTACTGGACGGTGGCAGAGGCCATCACTGGGCTGCACCATCGTGGGATGGTCCCCTCCCCACCTACCAGGTGGTGGGCGATGACTCTTTAAAGAGACAGCATGCTAAGGACCTGGCATCTTGTCAGCTCCCCACTTAGTCCCAGGAGAGAGACAGGAAAGACCCCCTCGAGGGAGGCCCAGGGCAGGGCCCACTCTCTGTGGGCCACTGCCCCCTTCATGGAGTCCAGGGAGGGCTCCCAGGAAGGAATGTTTGTCCGTTTGCTTCGGAGCTTCCGCTTTCCAGTGCGGGACCAAGGCCCCAGGGAGCCCTTCTGCAGCCCTGTTTTCTCAAAACCCAACCAGCTGCTCTGCCCAGCACTTGCCGGGCATCAGCTGTGCAGGGAAGCTGGAATCCGACCCCTGGCGCTGGGCCTGGTCTCCATGGCAGCTGCGGGTTTATTACAGGGGCCTCCACCCAGCTTGGCGGACTTTCGACTTGAAGCACGGAGGAAGGAAACCAGGAGGGCAGTCCTGGGAGCGGGGAGCCCAGGGTGCAGCCGCAGGCCCCGAGATGGTAAGAGGGGGCCTGTGTCACCTGCCGGCTCAGCGGGCTGGGCGGCGGGGGTGGGGCGCAGGGGCCACATGTCCACGGTGTCCCTCCCTGACTGTTTCCCTCTGTCTGCTGCAGGCCAAGTTTTTTTCTCAGGACCAAATTAATGGTAGGTTGGGTTTGCTCTTTAATTAGCAGCTCACAGCAAAATATGGGTCTCATTAAGCAATTTGCTCTGCTGTTTTTGTTGGTGGGAAAAAGGCGGCTCAGGGGGGAGTTGGGCCCACCCACGGGCAAGAGGCGGCTGCTCGGTGGGGTGTACGGCTCACAGGTAGAAACGTTGGCGTTACATCTGCCAGCGAGATATACAAGGAAAGAGCAGAGAGAGCTCATTTGATTTTCCTCCGGAAGCTGGATCTGCGGGCCGGGAGGGGTGAGACAGGGTTGGAGAGAGCGACCACAGTTAACCGGCTGGGGCTGAGGGCCCGACCAGAGAGAGGACTTGTCCCGGCTGAGCCAGGGAGCCCCGGTCTGCCCTCACAGGCAGCATGCTTCTACTCTCTGGGGGCCCCAGTCTCCCTGCCTGTAGGGCGGGAGGTCCCCTCTGCCCGACGTCAAGGCTGTTGGAGTGTTTTATTCCCTGAACCCTGAGCCCCAGGCAGGTTTCGGTTTCAAGCCTGCATAGTTCTGTTTCCCCAAGGCCACGGGCCAGCTGGGTTACACAGAACTGGGGGCCCAGACCTGCAGGGGAGGAGGCCCAGCATAGCCCACACGGGGGCTGCGGGCCCTGGGGTGGGCTGAGAGTGACCTGCGCAGGGGTTCCGGAGCTCTGGGCACCCAGAGCTTGGTCTAGAAGGAAGACTGGCTGGGTTATAGGCACCAGGTGGGCACCTCCCCGTGGACCCCTTGATATTCTCACCCCCAGAGCAGGGCCAGAGCAAGGAGTTTTAAAGCACAAGACCCAGGCAGGGGCCTCTCGTGCCCGGTCTCAAGGAGAGACGGAGTGGAGTGTGGCTGTCAGCCTCAGTGTCCCCCACCCACACCTGGTTCCGAGGCTCATCGACCTTTTCTCTGAAGCTCCCAGAAGGAAAGACAGCAAACTTCCCTTTGGGTCCCGTGTCTGACACCAAAAGTAGCCACGAATGTTTAATGAATGAGTGACAGACGGGTGGCCCGTTGGAGTGGGAAGAACAGGAGCCTTGTGGGGAGCGGGCCTGGGGTCTCAGCACGTCTGAGCCTCAGTTTTCTCCTCTCCGAGGCGGGATAACGACCCCACCTCCCGAGGCTGCTGCGAGCCACAGACAGGATGTCAGCCGTGCGCCTGCCATGGGCCCGGTGCAACGGGGTGTCGCCCAGACGCGTGCCAGCTCGCGCTCCAGCATGAGCTGGCTGGTGCAGTTGTAGACGTGTTAGGAGCTGGTTGTTAAAACCAGTCATTATCAAATAATGTCAGATTAAACAATGTTCCACCCCCTGCATTTGTACAGAAAAATTAAAAAGATGGCCCTATTGCAATCAGCAGTGCTAAAGATTTGAAAGAGGTTTTGGTTTAATGAATATAATTTGTACAAGGGTAAGAAATAGTTTCATGGTCGATCCCTTACCGGATTGAACAGTAGTGCATTCCTCCAAAAAGGGCTGCCTCGCTGACACAAGACCCCACTGGTCGAGTCGCAGTCCCTACCCTCGCCCCGCCCCAAGCAGGGGCTCCACCTGGGGCGATCTGAACAATTCTGATGGCATGATGGCAGCCCACCCCCAGTTCTGAATCAGAGTCTCTGTGGGAGGGTCCAGGAACCTTCCTGAGCTGCCGCCACCTCGCTGCTCCTCCGGAGCTGGCAGCCGGGCACAAAGAGGCGGGTGGGCGCCCTGCTGCACTGGGCTGTGAGGATGTGGCTCTAGAGGCCTCAGCTCCTGTGGGCCTTTCATGTCCGTCAAGGGAGAGAGGGTTCGAAGAGAGATGCAAGTCACACCTGCTCAGAGGCTGGGACACACCCTGGTGGAACCCCTCGAAGTCCCAAAGGACAGGACCAGGACCTGTGTCAGAGGACAGCTCGGGCGCCTGCAGCCTGGAGGCTGGGCTGGAGCAGGGGGTCAGAAATGTCCCTAACTGTAATAACTGTCACCGCATAGGAGAGTCACTGGCTGCCAGGCTTCTTCCAAGGTGGGGGGTTTCTGGTCCTGTCAGTAGCCCAGAGGCATGACTGTCCCCCTTCCCCACATCAGTTGTCTTTGCAGAGCTGCCCTGGGTGTCTGGAGACCCTGCTGCAGACGCCGGGTCTCCCTGGACTGGACCTAGTGGGGAGGGTAGTGTGGGGAGCTGCCCTGTGCTTTGAGTCAGCTGTGGGAAGAGAAAAAGGGGAGCAGAGGAAGGGGAGTCAGGCGAGGGAAGAAATAGGGTTGCCAGATAAAATGCAGCACACTCGGCCCTGGCCGGTGTGGCTCAGGGGGCTGGAGCATCATCCTGCAAAGCTACAGGTGGCGGATGGATTCCCGGTCAGGACACCTGCCCGGGCTGCAGGTTTAGTCCCAGCTGGGGGAGAGGATGAGCGGCAACGACTGATGTTTCCCTGTCACATCCGTGTTTCTCTCCCTCTCGTTCTCCCTCCCTTTCCATCTCTAAAAAATAAATAAAATCTTTAAAAAAATACTCAGGGCACTCAGTTAAATTTGAATGTCAGATAAACAATGCAAAAATTTGGGACATACTTATCCCCGAAATATGCTCACTGTTTATTGGAAGTTCAGTTGAACTTGCCAGTCCTGTATTTGTACTTGGGACGGGAAGGGCGACGGAAGGAGTGGGCACAAGGAGAGGGAGGGGGGCGGGGGGAGGAGGAGGGCTCCTGAGTCTCCCTTCGGGGCTGTGTGCAGAGTACAAGGAATGCTTCTCCCTGTACGACAAGCAGCAGCGGGGGAAGATTAAAGCTACCGACCTCCTGGTAGTGATGAGGTGCCTGGGGGCCAGCCCGACCCCCGGGGAGGCGCAGCGGCATCTGCAGACTCATGGGATAGGTGAGTGAGGCTGGGCTGGGCTGGTGGGTGGGCCCTGAGCCCTGCAGCTGCGGTCCTGGGGCGGGGCCTGACAGGCGTGTGAACAGGTCAGAGGTCACCAGCTGGGAGCTGTGGAGGCGTTTGTCCAGGTATGTTGGGCATCGCTCAGACTTCCTTGAATCCTCGCAGCAACTGATGGCACCCTCGTCTCAGCGCACCAGGGCAGCTGAGCCCTCAACAAGGCAGTCACAACTCTGCAGTTGATGCAGGGCCAACAGTGATCCCAAAACCGCTCTGACAGAACGACTTCCTTTTATTGAGTATTTGTCGCGTGCTTAGCTCAAGCAACCCTGTGAGGAAGCACCGCTTTGCAGGTACAGATCAAGGTTCAGAGCCGTTGGATCACTTGTCCAAGTGCTTAGGCCAATGGAGGAATCAGAGTTGGAACCCAATTCTTCTGATTTCAAAGACTGACCTTCTAAAAACTCTGCAATTCTGGGAGGAAAAAAAAAAAAAAAAAAGGAGGAAAACCCAGCCAAAACGTTGCCAGGTGGTTCTCTCTGGTGGCGATTTTCATTCCTTATGGATGGTTTTCATTCCCTTTATCATTGTTTCCTGTGTTTTTGACAGTGGGGACATACAAGATTTTATAACCAGAAACAAGTTGTTGTTTTTTTTTTAAAGAAAACAACAGGGGAGTCCGAGGCTGGGGTGGCTGTTCGCATTGGTAGCTGGGCACTCGGGAGAGAAAGACTGGCCCAGAGAAAGCGGGGCTCTGGAAGGACCACTGGATGGGGAGGCCATCGGGAACTCAGCTGCCTCGTCTCTCAGCCGGGTCCCCACCACGTCACGACGTGCTGGGGCCGCCCCCCAGTCCCACCAGTGCGCCTGCAGCAGCGCTGGGCCGGCCAGGGCGGGCCTCTGAAGGCCTGGAGCCGGGCAACAGGGTGCTCAGTGACAGATGCCCTGCTTCCGCCTCGAGGGGTGGCGGTTTCCTTGGGTTTCTGTTTCCTCCAGACAGGAAGTTGTGGTCAGGGGAAGTTCCAATTTCCCGCAGTTATACCCACGCAGAGGCAGGGCCGAGCCCCTCGGGCATCCTCAGAGGAGGCGCATGGGCTGGGGAGCCTGGGGTGGTCGCAGTGGGGGGAAAGGCAAGCAACCAGCCCAACTGGGACTGGGGCTCGAGGGCCCAGGTGGGGTCACCTGTCCACCTTTGTGGATGTGCAGTGGTGGCTGCTAAAGGGGGCAGACACATCGAGGTACTCCCCTGCAGTTTGGGGCATGAGAGAGTCACCCAGAAGGGAGCAGAGGAGGTGGGGCTCCATCCTGGACCTCCCACAGCTCTATGAGGTGACTTCGCACTCAGAGCCTCCGTCTCCTTAGTGGGCAAAATGGGATGGGGATAACCAGTCCCTGAGGAATGTGGGGAGGATTAAACGAGGCATGTCCGTGCCGGGAACTCAGCAGAAGGGGCTGCACCTCTTCACCATGACCACTGCCACCATCATGGCCCTCCTGGAATCCGGTGGCCCTCGAGCTGGCCAGGGAGGCTTGGGGAGGAGGCAAGCTGGCTTCCCTAACGCAAGCCTTTCCTCGCCTGCTCACTCTGCTGTGTTTGGGGATTTCCTAGACAAAAATGGAGAGCTGGAATTCTCCACTTTCCTGACCATTATGCACACGCAAATAAAACAAGAGGACCCAAAGAAAGAAATTCTTTTGGCCATGTTGATGGCGGACAAGGAGAAGAAAGGCTACATCATGGCGTCCGAGCTGCGGTCAAAACTCACGAAACTGGGGGAGAAGCTCACCCACAAGGAAGGTAATGGCCTGGTTCCCTCTTTCCCCACAGTGGGAGGGGATTATGTGTGTGTGTGTGGGGAGCGGGGTGTGGGGGAGTGGGCAGGTGGTGACACCACCAGGATTTCGAAGACACTGCACTTCATGCATGTCCCAGAAGGCTGCGACGAGATGGCGAGGTGGGTGAGCTGTGGACTGGAGCCCAGGGAGAGCTGGGGGAGCTGGGGTGACAGGGGAGAAGTCCACCAGGCAAAGGGAGGGCCTGGGCAGTCCTAGGTGGGACCTGCTTGGGCCTCAGCCTGAGTTTAAGCTTTCACTGTGGGCCTTTGTTCAGAGTTCTGCCACTCCCAGGAACACCAGGGCCCTCTCATACTGACGAAGACGCAGGGGAGCCCAGTGGCCTGTGGTGGCAGAGCCGGAGTTGCACAGAGGCCTGTTAGACGCGTCAGCTCCTGCGCCCCAGGCCAGCTCAGGCTCGTTTCTTTCGCCACTGCTGTCTTCTGAAGTCGCTGCTGACGCATGGTTTACAAACTGACCTGCTCCTTTGTTCCCTCCCCTCATGCCTCAGCCACTCTAACAGCTCTTCCAGAAGGGTGTCCGTGGTGGCCTTTGTTGGGGCTGCTGGTCCCAGAATGCTGTGAGGTATGCCTCTGCTCCCAGCAGCGCAGTGTGCCTTCCAGCGTCCGAGCAGGACAAGGGCCCTGGGTCTTCCGGGTCTGCCGGGTCTGCCGTGGTTGGCGGAGGTGTGGGTCGGGATGGAGGCCCTCGGCTGGCACACAGCGGGTGGTGGAGAAAGGCTTTGACAATGTTGGCCCTTTAGCCGTGGGTTAGATCACAGTGAGCCCGTGGAGGGGCTGCCAGGCTGTGGTTAGAATTAGGTGTGAATCCTGGCTCGCCTTCATTCTGGAGGACCTCAGTTGGGTTTCTTCACCTCTCTCACCCTCCTCAGTTTCCATGTTGGGGAAAAAATGAGGTTACAATAGACAATCCCTCAGGTCCCTCCAAGAGCTAACATTCTATAAAGCCCACTGCTTAGATTTTATCTGCAGCCACGAAGGCACAGCGCAAAGCACTTAAAAATAGTGCTGCAGAAGGCAGATCAGCCCCCCCGCCGCCCCCCTGCTTTTTCAGGCTGCAGCTATCGTGCTCTTCCACTGTGGCTGTTTTCATGGGAACGGGGGAAGCATGGGCTCTGCCTCCCTCTCGGCCCGCAGGACACTGCTCGTGTGCCTTTTATGTACCGGGGGAGTGTTAACAGAGAGGGCCAGCTGGGGCCTTCATTCTCAGTTAATGATCTGTCTGAAGTTAGCACCACGGCCCCAAACTCGTACACATTTCTCATTTGTTTAACCAGTAAAGAAACATTTCAAAGAAAATGGCAATGTGTTCCCAGAGAGCCGGGGGACCAGCTTCCCTTGTTTGGCTGTGGGAGATGTGAAAGGTGATGCTAGAAGTAGGAGTCCTTCACCCTGAGTGACTGAAAGAAAACCTTCACTTTCATTGCGAAGCGTCCTTGCAGCGGCTGGAGAAAGCTGTCCCGGAGGCCTCGCACCTAAGGCCCAGGACAGGCTGACTCCAGCACCCTGATTCTTTCTGGGTTCAGAGCAGACCACCGTCCTCCCCAGCAGGCAGCCCCACCACCTGGCTGTCCGGTGTGGCCCCTCTTCTAGGCAGGAGGCTCGGGCTGGCAGGGCCGCTGGTGCTGGGCCAGTCCACCGGGGTGGTTTGAACCAGGTGGCTGGTGGGTAGAAGTTTCTCCATGAAGATAACTTACATTCCTCTTAACATTCTAAAAATATTCAGCACTCCCATCAGCCTGGGCATGGAGCATGGTAATTACACTTTAGAAGAGGCTGGTTAGACAGAGAATCACAGGGTATTTTCCAAGTCCAAAGTTACGCATCGGGGACGTCCAGGGCTGAGGAAGTTGACAGAGGGCAGTGAGGGTTTTTGCAAGAGGGTCAGGACAGTTCAAAGAGCCGAAGGTATGTTGGCCCCAAGAGGCCCCTGGGGAGAAGTTTAAGCCGAAATGACCCTTTTTGCCAAGATCTGGGACAAACTAGTATTTTGTTCAAGGAATCCAGAAACACAAGAAACGAGTAAATGGAGTGATTTTTTTGGAGCAATGTCAGAGAACAATGGCGGTTTTGTACCCTTTCAGCTTTAGACACAGTTGAATTTATTTTCTCTCATACTCTCCCCACCCCCAAAACACAAACTTTTAAAAAAAAAGGTGACCGTGGCAGACACCACTTGTCACCAAGCCCTCTCCTGGGGCGGGGCATGCCCACTGGAAGGGGAGGCCAGGGTGGCCCGGTGTGGAGCTGCCGAGGGGGCCCGTTCAGCTGGGAGGGTGGGCTCTGCGAGGTAAAACCCTGGATGAAGGTGTTCAGAAACACAGGGACAGGAAATAGAGGCTGTTAAAAGAACAAAACAAAACAAGGTGGTTCAGTGACTGAATCTGCACCAGCCCCTGCAGAAAACCCAGTGAACTCCCAATTCTCTCAGTGGTCTCCCGGGGGGTGGGGGTGGGCTGTCCTGCTCTGTTTGCTGGCTGATTTCCTGGTCTGGGTGAGCAGACAACTGGACGCTCAGGGAAGACCTCTGGGGAGCCCCAACCCCCAAGAACTCAATGTCCTATAACGTAGCAGTAAAGCTGAACTGAAAAATTAATGTGATTTATTGCAGTGGATGATCTTTTCAGGGAAGCAAATATCGAACCAAACGGCAAAGTGAAGTATGATGAGTTCATCCACAAGATCGCCACCCCTGTGCGAGACTACTGAACGAAGAGAATGTGAGACAGCCTCCCCGGCCTGCAAAAATCGGATGAGTTTTAAAGGAAGGTGTTCCTTTCACTCCAGGCAGCGAGATGACATCATCTAACTGTAGCAGAGGATAACTTAGCAGATGAAATGATTTGGGCCATGGAATTAGCATGCCTTCAATAAAAGATTTTTATTCATTTTAATCGCTGCTGTTAGTCCAGCCCCTTATAGCAGGGAAAGGGCCTATGGTCTGGAGTTGGCCCCGGCTTCCTCCCCCGACTGCTGTTTCCCAGCTGAGTTTGGGCAAATCATTTCACCCCTCAAACCCCCAGGGTCTTCACTAAAGCTGGATTTCCACTTCTTAGCCCAGGGAGCCTGGTGAGGATGGGCTGAGTTAATAATGCCTGGGGAAGTGTCTGCAAACTGTAGTGCACCGAGCAGTCCTGAGTTACCGTGGCAGTGCTCTTCCCAGGAAGGGCAGTCACCCAAAAGACCGTATTCTGTCTGGTGCTGGAATCAGCTTCCACGTTTCCAAGACAAGGCCAGTGCTCGCTGAGAAACAGCACCAAGCAGAACTTTATAAAACAAGTAACTGTGGTGACATTTTTTGCAGTTCCACAGGGCCACTTACAAATTCTCATTCCCATCTCAACACATAGTGACACAGTTGAGATTCATTCATTAACACCAAGTATAGTGTCCTGATGGGTGTCGTTCTGTTGGTTGGGTGTCATCCCAAAAAGCAAAGGTCCACCTGTTTAATTCCTAGTCAGGCACATGCCTGGGTTGCGGTTCAGTCCCTGCTCAGGGGACATAGGAGAGGGAATTGATTGTTGCTTCTCGCACTGATGTTCCTCTCCCTCTTTCTCCCTTTTCCTCTCTTAAACATAAATCTTGAAATAAATGCAGTGAGTATAGGGTGGAAACATTCACAGTAAAACAAGGCAGCCTCACCTAAACAGTGGGAAGAATGATCTGCCTTTATAGCCTGCACTGAAGGAAGCCAAAGCAATCGAGGTGTGAAAAGGTCTCACGAAACTTCAAAGGCCCTTTCTGATGCTCTGTCAGAAGTCCCAGCTCTTCCCCAGCCTATCACCAGAGTGGTCCACGAACCTAGGATGGGTCAGCTGGAACCTAGGATGGGTCAGCTCGAGTGGGTCAATTTGATCATGGCTTCAAGTCATTTCCCCATGACTAATGTAAAGTAATAAGGGGATATAATAGGACATAACTATGATAGAGCAAGAGCCCTGGTACCCCTACAGCAGTAGCAGTACTGGCCCTGCTGGTAGCAATTCCAGATGAAGTGGCTGAGTTATGTAGCCAATAGGTGCCAGGCTGGTGCTGCCCGTGTGATCCAATCTGTGGATCCACTGGCAGAGTTGGCACTGCCCTAAAAAAGGGTTGAAGTCACACTGGCACGTTGAGGGGTGGGAGAAAGGGCAGAGCTCTAAATAGAGATCCCTGTCCTTGTATGTATCAAAACTGGGCTCTCTGGGCTGTGGCTTTGTCGAACTGTGCTTAGTGGCTAAAGCAAAAGAAAATCAAACTGAGGAAGGTCTGTTTTGGGGGAGGTTATACAAGACACACGTCTAAGGGCCAGGCACAAGGGGTACTGCAGGGGACAACAGTCAGGCTTAGTGCGACCATCTCACAACACTGTGGGCTTCAGACCAACCAAGATCCCTGGAAAGAACTTGTTTCCCCAACAGTGGAATTACCAATGAGAGAAATTCCCAGGAGATGCAGAGAAAGGTTTTGTGGAGGCCACGGAATAAATGGCACAGCCAACTCAGGTGAAGCTGTGAGCGTCTAGCTGAGAACGTAGGTTCACTGTGCAGGGGCAGACCCAGGTTTTGTGTGGTCTGAGCTTGTACTGTTTGGCAGGCTGAAGAATTGTAAAAATAGAAACACAGATTTGGTAGGACTGCTCTGAGGCCCCTCCGAGAGGCTGGAGCACATAAGGGGCCCAAGTACTTAAACTTCATTACCACTGTGGTAAATCCTCTCGGGTCTGGTAAGATGTTGACACCCCCTAAAGAACTGCTTTATTTCACTCTCAGGAAAGGCTCAAGGGTTAGGCCCACACCTCTTAACTCATCATGGATATTAGGGAGCAAACGCTACACAGCCAATATGGAATACCAAGGACTAGACAGTAGATACCTTTATTAGATGAAACAGGGCAAGGAAATTCTGGGATCTGATGATAAATGAGGGTACTATTCCTTAAAGCCTTTTTGTCTTTATCACTGAATGGCCCCAGTATGGTTTTAAGGCAACTTTTATTCTTCTCATTTGCCTCAAGTGTAGCTTGCCAAAAACTTACTAAGTGGTGTGGAATGGTCATTAGAACCCGGGGTTCATCTCCACGGACTCAGTGTCCCTAATTAAGGTGTTCAGGGACTAGGATTCTAGACTCCTATGACGTGTCTGACTTCCACCTCTACCCCAGGAAAGGCTTTTACACCACCCACGTCCAGGTTTTACGCTCATCCCTAAAACTCCAGCGGGTTCACCTAGCACTGATCTTATTTACAAAAAAGTGACAGTGCTCTTAGCTCTCAAACTGTAGATTACTGAACACAATGAATACTAAGCAGATGCTGCGGCTCATTACAAAGCCATATTTCGGTAAGAAAAGGGAACAATGGCTGTACATTCATTACTCACCTCAAAGCATGCTGCAAAGGAATTACTTGTCATGCTTTGAACTCTGGGGATGAAAGTGCTTTGGAAGCACAGGGCCTGCCCCCGGTACACCCAGAAGTGTGTTTCAGAGAAGACAAATTAACTGAAGGCTTTTCTTTTATTACATCTAAAGAGCTCTACATAAACAGGTAACATTCAATAGGTAAACAATTTTTTTCCAATGCATGTAATAAATATCTTCACTTGGTACTTTTATACAAACTGACATTGGTCTACTATACATTTTTAAAAGCCATTTTACTGGTTTGGCATGCGGTATGGAAATTCTAAGAGAGAAAGTCTTAAGGCAATGAATCACAGATTTAAGTTTATGGAGTTTATGGTAACTTTTATATATCTGTTTATATACATTTTCCCCTTTGTTAATTGAATAATTAACAGCAGCATACTCTGGAACCACCAGCTATTCTCCCTCCTTCTTTCTGAAATCTAAGCTTTGTTGTGTTTTTTTTTTAATTAAAAAAAATGAACTCAACGTTTACTGATAAAATAAGATCCATACTAAAATAATTTCAAATGTGCTCTAAAGTTCCGAAGATCTTGAAGTGTTTTATGTATTTCAAACTGGAATTGTTTAGAAACAGCATTCCTTTAACAATTAGAAATTAAAATTGGGACATATTTTCACTCAGTTTCAGACATTAGACTCAAAGGAAAATCTGCCAAGATACCACATTTTTGAGAAGCTTAAAAGTGAATCTTTCCTTAGTTGATAATGACACAGATTTGTGAAAATGTCTAAATTAATATAGTAGAAAAAATTTAATGTTCCAAGTACATTAGTCAACCAAGCGTGGTGTGGTTAAAGTTCAGACTGTTTAAAACAATGTGCCCAACAATGCCCACAAAATAACGAAAAGCCTCTCCAGCCCTGCGAGCCGAACAGCGACTTTACCAAGTGAGTGACGCGCCAGCGCTGCCCAGAACACGGATACACACGCCTGCCAGAAAAGACGGCGGCAAGGGGGCTGCCAACAACTCACCTAAAGATTCTGAGACTCGCTCTCTGTCCACAAACAGCATGTCAGTGGGAGTGAGGGTGGGCTTCGGAACAAGCAGATCGCATGACCATACACTTAAAAAAACAACTTAGAAGATAAAGATGCAATGCATGACTCTACTAAGAATGACTACAGATCATGAAAGTCTAATAATATTGGCCATGGGACCAACAGAGTAATAGCTACTACTAATGTCAACATTTTGAAAGGTCAGTAACTGAAGGGAGCCAACTCCTTCGAGGACAGAATGAACTAAAAGAGACAAATGAACAGTTAGTTTCTCCTGTGGAGACATGACCAAAGCCACTAACTAGACAGACATTGATTTCTCCCTATTACCTGTTCTTTCTGTGGGGAGGTATAAATGCAGGATACTAAGGGGAAATTAACCCTCTCTGAAACTGGGCTGAAGAAAGTAGAAGGACGGATTTTCAACTGGATTATTCAAAGAGTTTGTAATTCAGCATCATACACAAAGTTATTGAACAGAATTTTGAGACCACTTACCACCAATGAAAGAAAAAGAACAAACAGAAATAAACTACTCATTTTATCTTAGGTAGTTGAATAGAAATGTTTCCTATAGTAATGTAAAATAAGAAGCAACTCCCTACAATTTAAGTAATTTCTACTCAAATCTGAATTTAGACACAAATTATATTATTAGATATTAGCCTAATATGGCAATGAGAGTTCTTAAAGTATTCACTTACCATAACACCAGATTCATCTGAAAACTTAACTATTTCCTGTTTTAACCAACAATAAATCTTTTTTTTATTGCGAATTGTTTAGTGACTAACTCAGCCATGTATATGTGGAATACACATGCGTTGGGGAAGACTATATAACTCACTTGTCACTCACACACACTTGTCTATAAATACATATATACACACACACATATACATATCAACACCAACTTGTTTTTCAAAATTCAAGTCAACAATTTAGTGACAGAGAGATGCTGTAAGAAACATTATTTTCAGACGCCACATAGTCATGTGAACCATTAATTTTATCATACAACCAAAGATACAGCCATCTTGAAGTTTACCTGGATTACAGGTCATTCTGCTTCCATTGCAAGGTCTAAAATGACAATGTTATACACAAAGGTGGTCCTTCATCAACTCTGAGAACAGTAACAGTTGTGATATAAAAACCCAGTCTAGGAAACTGGTAATCATGATGCCCCTTCTTTATCTTCTCTGTTAAACCTGCTCAACCTCTCAATCAGCTAGAAAGTATTTCCCACACCTTCAGTTATTACCTGGAGAACGTGACACATTCTCTAATGAGGATTTTGGAACACAAGTGGAACCACTTTTCCTTCCCTCCAACCCTCACTCATGTCCTGAAAAACAGTTTTCAATATATTTACATGTTCCATTATTAGTAAGAATAGATCAGGCTGATCCACGAATTCTAAAAGAAAAAAGTTGACTTTCCTATGTCATGCTTGTCCTTAAAAGGTGAAGAATAAAATA